AAATCGTTCATGAATCATTAGAAATGCGGATTATAATATCATTCAGCCCTCAGATTAGTGCAAAGAGCTGACAACGTCGCAAGTCGAGTTCGTGCACAATCTTACAACCGTGTGACATTCAGAAAAAAGAATGGCGCTTGACATTCTTGACACTGACATGTCTACCGTGTTGCTGTATGGTTTGCACGGGACTGTACCTTGTTCCTTCTTCAGTGTATATGTTTCATGGTGTGGGAAACCACGGCGTCATGGCATGATGGCTGGTTCTAATAGGAGAGTGGTGCTTCGGTTAAATAATAAATTAATTTGTGTGATAGGGTGGCCTGTGATATATGGTTATTGTGTTCGAAGATGCAATAATTCGACTTCGATGTAAGCTTTGAGATTGGATTTTACTTTTTTTCAGTTTTAAATCAGGATATACGCTAGTGCTAGTGTAAAAACTGATGGCCATTTTATATTGAAGAATAACATGCATGGAAATAATTTATAAAAAATAATCTTTTAACACACAAAATGTTGCGAAATCGAAGATTTAGGTTGTAATTTGTTCAGGCGAAAAGAAATTTTGTTTTATTTTCAATGTGTTTGCATTTTTGTGTGCTACACTACTACGATAATTGTTTTTTTTTTTCTTATAAACAAGCACTCACGTTTTAAGCCATTAGTAAGGATTATACTGAGTGTTCAGAATAAAAGTGTTATTGGAGCATTTTGTCATTGCTCAAAGATTATGGTGAGTTAATAATATGCTTACAACCGTTCTTCTACATTTTTTCAAAAAGAGCCTAGTGGAAAAAATGAAAATGTAGCTCGCTTCAGAGCTTCGTTTTTAGCACACCGTGAACATTCCATTGGAAAGTATTTAAAAATGCAACCTCATATGTGAAGAGCGTGTGAATCAGTTTTTACACGAATTTTACCTGTTGTTTCCTTTTGTCAGTCCAAGCGGCGCAGCGGGCATACGGATTATGAAATGGCGTATTCATTTAAGTTGGTGTCTCTTTTTTATAATATCGTTTATATAAGTAAGTCTGGAAATATGTGTTCATAATCGTGATCGTTGATATGAGATAGTTATTTGTAACTGGTTGCGTAAATGGAACTTCTTAAACTTATCCTTTGATTGTCTCTGTTATCCATCTTGGACACTTGCCAATAATTAAACCCACAGTTGTTGAATATATTAATTTCCTGGCGTTTCGGTTGCCTCGACAGCCTGTGTCACCGTAAAATTTTCACAAATAATTTTTTGGAATTGAACATTTTAGCTCCTTCCTGTGAAAGACTTTTTACTTCCCACGCCATTGGCGAGGAAGTAGTTTAATTTGCGGAAATTTTCGAAAATGAGATATTCTGATTTTGATGCGTGTGAAGCTCAAAAGCTGGCTCCATAATCGTACGAGCAGCTAGATTACAACGAACCCAATAAATGTTGTCTGCCTGCGATATGCCATGGCGTGCATACGAGGTGAGCGCGGTAATTATATATATATTCTATCTGTGCCTAAGAGTCTTCTGCTATTACAGTATTGCATTAAATGGTTCTGCAGAGTTTGTAGGTTCGTATCTACAGCTAGTCGTACACCTCCCCTGACAGTTATTAAACATTTTTTTTTTCATGAAAAGTTGAACAAGCTATTATATTCAGTTATCGAAAAGTAGTTACAAATTGTGTTACCCCCCAGCTCCAATGAATGAAGCGTATGGTGCGCGCTACTCCCTGAAATTCAGGAAGAAGTTTGTTCAGTGAAAAGTTGAAGAAATCCATTGATGTGCTATTCAGAGTTCAAGCTACACAACAAGAGCTATTATAATCAGTTATCAAAAAGTAGTTTCAGGGTTTAAACTACACAACAACAGCTATTATTTTCAGCCTTCTTTGGAACTGGGGTGTAAGACCGTTTGTAACTACTTTTTGAGCCAGATCTCATATTATGCTTTGAGATTGATCTCAAAAAATGACACGATCTCGCGAGATCGGGATTGCAACCCCTAGTCATTCTTCTGGAATTTGACAGCCAGAAAATTATTTTTCTTTATTGAAATCTTCGCTAACTTCATAATAATAATGCCATTTTTGTTTATTTGGCAGGGATGCTGGCGTCTTACTTTGTTCACTTTTTTCCATATCTCACTTTTATTCGCTTTTGATTGAAAACATTCACTTTTCCCATTATTTTCGTTCTTGCTATACATACCTATTGTACCTTATAAGCTGCCCTCCCCCCAAGATATTAAATGAGAATTTTTTTATTAAAATTAAGTAGGATTAGTTGAAATCTACATTGAATTTTAATTCAACTGTCTATATATGTATATATAAAAAAAAGAAAATAAAGGGCAAAATCCACAAAAAGAAGGAAAGTGGATTCAAGCAGAAAATATTATAGGTAACCCAAGCAATAAGTATTTCTGCTTGTTGACCTCATCAGGCTCGAAATGAATGCACATATGCAACCAAAAAAGTAGATACACATTCGCGTACATCCGCATAAGGGTGTAACCTGAGGGAACAAAGATGGAGAGGGAAAAAAATGAGACATCCCCAACAAGAGGCTAGAAGATCTCGAATTTTCAAGGCGACATCTAACCACAACCTGTCCTATTTTCTGCTCGAATCCACTTTCCTTCTTTTTGCGAATTTTATTGTGTAAGAAATACTCATCTATAAACATTTTTCAACATAAGATAATTCGCTAAAATGAAGGTTCTTCAGTCAATTGGGCAAGAATACTTAATAGACATAAATACGTCTCCCGTATTTACAAGAATTTGTTATATTTTCAGTTTTTCTTTAATGCATTGTGTGCATTTGATCTTAACTATGCATACATATAAATAAATATTTTTGCATACGTCAATAAAACAGTAACAAAGATCTTATAAGAGTTATTTTCGTTTTTTTTCACCCCTGATTTATCTTATCCGTATTCAATTTCTCAGAAAATTAATTCGCCTTTTTATGTATAAACTCACTATTTTCTCACTACTTTATTTGGAAAATCTTACCTTTCTCATTCGAATTCATGCTTTGGGCGGCCAACACCCCCAGAGTTTCCTGGCCCAAACTACACCAGGGACGTAGAAACTGGGGTACCTAGACCCCTAATAGGAAGTATTTTCCATGCCACTGGACCTTTCGAAGAAAAGCAGTAGAGTTTATCAAATATAATTCATTTTTTCATAATTTTTATCTTCTAAGGAATTTTTGTCAGTTCACTCGCTTACGAGATATTTAGGTTTGAACATTTTATGTAAAATCCTAAAATATACATATGAAAAGGTTTAGCTTACCCTATTCTGAAATAGTTTGATATTGGACACATTATATGGCAACTCATTACAACAATAATATGCGTATATTATCGTCAACCAGTAGCGTAGAAGCTTACCTTTTATTAAACCTAGTCTATGCACGCCACTGGTTTTCGTGGTATTTATGTTGCTACAAATCCCTTACCTTGCAATAGAACAAGGTCCAGCATCACGCCACCATAAGAGTGTGCTGAACCTGCTTAGATTAGTTTCAACGATATACATGTTATTTTATTATACAGTTCAAGTATTGTATCTTTGCATTGTAACTTAGAAATCAAAAAAATTTCAAAATTCGAAATTTCAGTGGCGCAGTCATCGTGGATCGATTCTACCATCCTTACAAGGCCATACATCGAGGATATCCGTGGGCACAGGTCGAAGAGGAGATCGCTAGGGAGAAAGTACAGGCAGGATACGGCCTTTCCAGAGCGAAGGGGTCCACTGTACTCGCTGCATCCCTCGATCCAACGTTCTGAAGCAAGAAGAATGAAAATCAGCGCCCTCATGAGTGGAGTAAGTTGCTCATTTTCTGCTTGCTTGCTCGTTACCGCACTAGTCTTTGTATATTTCGTCTATGTCAATCTCCTCGTCTCCTAATTCCTAACAGGAAAATAGTGAAGCCGAGTATAGTTTTAGTATTTCAGACGAACAGTTTCAGGCAGTTTTGGAAACTAACCTCAGATTGTCCACATTTAGCTTAATAGCGATTCCGAAACGGATATGTCAGTCCCACAAGCTCCCCAGTTCGAGTCAAAGCTTCTAGACATAGTTCCCAAATATGACGGAAACCCATTAGAGTTAACAGCATTTTTGGAAACTGCTAACACAATGATTAACATCTAGTAGACTACTAACTCAAGTAACGCTAATTGTGTACAGAATTTAATTATTTACGGAATTTATTCGAAATTGATTGACAATGCTTCGGTGATCAAAGAGACGAAAATGGATTATTATTCGATCTTAACCAATTAAGACAAGGTAACCATTGCAATTGTACACAAAAATTTTCAAATTCAAATGATTTACACAATTTTATTGATACGCATGAATGAAGTTGATAAGACTACATAGTGCAGAAACATTTTTTTACAATACACGTGCACTTCGAATATTTTTGGGTGGCTTGCGTGAATCTTTTGGCTCTATGGTTCGAGAAATGAGGTTTAATTATCTTGCCGAAGCAAGTCAATTTATCATTTCTGAGAATAACATTTTACATTTTACAAAACCTTACTTTGACAAGAACAAAGCTCATCGAAACCAACAAAACCACCACCTGAAACATTCTTCGCATCACTATTTCGATCCACAATATGATCAGGGACCACAAAAAAATAGAAAATGCCTTTTTAAAATCAATCTACTGATGAAGACGCGTTACCTATTGTTTGTCGATTATCACTATGATTCAATGAGTACTTAAATATTGACAATCTACGTTTCGAAATACTGGACTGAAGCGTATTAGCGCAAAATCTGTAGCGGACGTTTGTTAAAAGTGGTGAATGCACATACTAAATCCAGGAAACTATTCTAGATTTTCACCCGAAGGCCTTTGTATACAGAGTGCCCAACTAAGAATGCGAGGTACTCTATCTGGGAACCTATCCATCGTAGGCGCTTGCAGCAAAAACAGTTAGGCCAAGAGAAAAACCTGGAAGATATTTTCAAGTTTCTGAAGTGACTGCTAGGTGGCGTGACTGAAATATTGAAACTAAAAAGGTAATGTTTCTGTGAATTCCGCTATATTAACCTAACAAAAACTTACCTGTGTAGCGACTAATTTATGCTCTCTGCTATGGCAACTTTGTAAACCCCATGCCGTTTTTTTGACGTTTAAGTCAACACCGCATGAAAGTCACTTTTCCTTTATTGCCCTATGATTTTTGAGTTCTGAGACGAGATGTCAATTTTTTTGTGGTTATGTGTGTGGTGTTTGATTTTATGGAATTTGATGATTAAATCCTGTTTCATCGAGCTCCTACGCGTAATTTTATTCCCTTTCGACCCGCCTCTACACCTGATCTTTTAATTCGAGGAGATTCTGAACTTTTTTTGTTTGAACAATTTTGCTGTATCTGTAAAAATAAAGCGGTGGGACGTATTCAAATGTTTCCGTAAAAAACACCCTGTATCTTCGAAACGGCTTGGCCGATTTTGACAAACTTGGGCTTGTTGAAAAGAGCTATTCTTGGGCTACAAATGTTATAATATTTGAAGTTTTGTAAGTTTCCCAGGTGGCCAGTACAGGGCTTTTTTTGGCATTCCGACAGAAACGGTCAACTTTCTCAAAAAAATTGAGTGTACATATTAGTAAAAAAAGACGTTGAATTATATGTAAACAAGCTCGCGAAAACCGCATCTCGACATCTTGTTCCTAACCTAAAATTTAGTCCAAAAACTATTTTTTCTGGAATTTCTTTTTATTAAGTTGTGGCCCTAGAAAGGACCGATTTAAAAAAGAAAGGTCTTTAATGCCCCCGTAAATGCTGGAAATGCTGATCTTCACGCTCTGTGCATTCCTGAAGCCTCTCATGGGTAGACAAAACTGCACCTTAAATTTCGACTGTCGGTATGTTATGTATTGCATTTTTCATATCTTCTGGTTGTAGGCCGAGTCTGAAACACGATGTCTTTTAACCGTCCCCATAAATAAAAATAAAGACAAGTTAAGCCTGGTGACCGCAAATCCATCGCTTCCAATCTCTCACACAGTAATAGCAAAATGTACTGAGTAACCATTCAACTGCAAAAACAAGTTTTGTCCTGTTTCCAGTGGCACATATTCCTACAACAACGGTAATTGATTGTGCAAAAAGTCAAGAATGACATAGCCATTTAGGGATTGCTCAAAAAAATATGGCCCAATAATTCTGCCTCCCAGTATGCCACACCACATATTTAAAATCCAACGCCCTTTCACGCAGCCAATGTGGATTTTCTGGCTGCCCAATAATGCATGTTGTGCAGGTTGACTCTCCCGTCACTAATAGAGCTGGCTTCGGACCAAAGAATTTGAAATAGAAATTCTCAAGCTTTGGCCTTAATATTAGGTTAGGAACAAGATATCGAGATATTAGGCTACTTTTTCATAAATAAATCATTCCGAAGCATTTAATTTTTTTAAGAAAATTATCCATTTCTGTCGGAATGTCGAAAAAAAGCCCTCTAGCGGTCACATGTGAAACTAACAAAACTTCAAATATTATAGCTCTTTTCAACTAGCCCAAGTCTGTTGAAATCGGCTGAGCCGTTTCGCAGATACAGGCTATTTTTTACAGAAACCTTTATTTTTAGAGATCAAACAGTTCACATTACTCTAGACTTTGAAGATCAGGTAACTTTTTGTTAGGTTAATATAGCGGAATTCGCAGAAACATCACTTTTTTAGATTCGAGATTGCTGTTACACCCCCTGGCGACCATTTCAGATTGTTGAAATTATTTTTCAGGTTTCTCTCTTGGTCGTTTTAGGCAGATTTTTTTTGACGCAAGTGTCTACGATTTATAGGTTCCCAGATACGCTACCTCGCATTCTTAGTTGGCCACCCTGTACATCTACAAATTTAGTATTGCACTCGCTAGCACGTTTCGTTTCTACTGAAGTTGCATTCCCAATTGTATTTTCCACTTCACCTGAAAAAAGAGGTAGCGTAGAACAAAGAGACTTTAACAAGTAAAAATTCAGCTAAGAAACATTGGAATTTCAAACTGACAATTCTCATTTGATATTAAACTAAATCGGGTAATCTCCCATGTATGGGTGTAAAACTTAATCAACTAGGGCACATTTCTTCTTCTTCATCTTTCGTAGGTGGTAGACACTCTCAGTCTGTCGAACGCGGAGGTACCACCCGGCGGATCTCCTAGGCGGGACCAGAATGAGTGCATGTTGCATGCACACGTGTTCCCTCGCCAGAGTCCCTGTGTTGTCCCCCCTTTCCCCTGTATTTCCTCCTATAGCACTACGTTACCCCATGGGTGTTTAGGCCTTAGGCATTCGTGGTAGTCGGAGTATAAGCAAAATCCAGAACTAATGCAATAATTGCAAGTTCATCCTCTGAAAATGTTGCCATCTCGACCTCACGTGAACACAACTGCACTGTCACTGCACGGTGAAAAATACTGACCAGTGTGAATTGAAAACACTGTGAGCTCACGTCAGCGGGAATCACTGGCACGTCACGGCTGACTGTGAACAGGCCCTTACTCATGTTTTAATAAAATTATGAATCAGAATTTTCCTGGGTATTAAACATTCGAAAACTTATTCGTAAAACCGAAAATGTCGCATAGCTGATTAGCTTTTGAAGTGCCACGTGTGAGATCACCGGATTTACTTTAATAGTAAAGCGAATTTTAAATTCAATTGTTTCCTCATTTCAAATGATCTGCGTACCCCGTCTTCCAAACAGAACGTCTGCTAAGTGTTGATTAAGCAGTATTTAGCTACCTTATAATTGCTTACCAGCAACGTGTGAAAATATGGTTTCAGATTGCTGAATAGCCTGCGATTTGTCGAAGTTGTTATTATTGCTTGAACTACCTGTTACATGTTGTTCATTTTCTAGTTCAGTGTTGTAGACTCCCAACGCATTGAAGATCCTATCATTTCGTTTTGCCATGGTTCTAGATTGTCTAGAATAATAATAATCTCGTCGGGAATTCAAAAGAAAAGTATGTATAACCTACACAAGCAAATATTTACACTAAAAATATACAAAACGAAATTACTTTACACCTCAAATATACTCAGTGACATATAAAATGCATGATAAAAACTTGTAAACATATTTGCTATCATGGAAGTATACGATGATGAAATGTTGAAGACACTACGAGCCGTACTTTTCTGCTACAAGCTTTTCCTGTCATTTCAGGATCCGAACAATATGAACATGTTTACTTAATATTCAGTGCTCTTTCTGTGTTGGTTCTATTTGTTTCATTGCATTATCATGCCTAGATTTGCAGTTCCGCTAATTTCACTTAACCTTACCGAGTTTGAGAAGGGTCGGATCATCGGGTTACGTGAAACAGGATTTTCTTGCTTATCGGGTGTAAACAGATGTTGGTCGGGCGTGATCCCAAGCAAGCCGAAATTAAAGACAGACTACAAAGCTACAGGATCGTTATTTGATGCGACTAGCATTTAGAGATCGATTTCCCACAAGGGCAGCTGCGAAGCAGGGGTTTGATGCTGTTGGAAGGGCAATAACAATGAGGACAGTTTATGGCCGAATAAGGTCTTTTGGACTGTTTTCATACCGTCTAAATCTTGTACGACCTCTGACCCCACAGCATCGTCGGCAAAGATTGGTATGGAGTAGGGAGAGACTTGAATGGAATATAGAATGGAACTCAGTCGTTTTCAGCGATGAGTTGAGATTATGCTTGGGCACACATGATGGCCGTGCAAGAGTAAGAAGGAGACATACAATATTCCATCGAACGGCATATTCATCGTACTGTGGATGTTGCGGTGTGGGGTGCCATTGCTCACGGCAGCAGGTCACAATTGGTGTTCATTCGCGTTAAGTCCACGAAGTTTTACAACCACATCTGCTTCCCTTTTAAGGAAACATTGCAAGGTCCACTTTTCATCAGGACAATGCACGACCTTCATGACCCACGTGTTAGTTGAGACTTTTTAGAAGCGGTCGGAGTAAATTGCTTCAGTGGCCCCTTTGATCTTCAGACCTTTCCCCCATCGAACATGTATGGGAAATCATGGGAAGAAGGTTGCAAAATTCACCGCACCCTCCACAAACATTGGAGGCTCTACGAAATCAAATTCAGATTACCTGGATACAATACACCAAGAAGACATCAATCACCTAATCCAATCGATGGCGCGACGACTTTACGAATGTGTTGCGAACAGAGAAGCGTCAACACTAAATATATATATATATATATATATATTGACATTAAGGCGGGATATCTCAGCTATTTTGCAAAATTTCGAGTTAAAATTGTAATCACTTTCTATTTATCAGTAGACCTAAAACTTGTAAACGTATGTTCAAAATTACAGCACTCCTAGTCGGTGTTGCATTTAAAATGAAACTTTTAGTTTCTACCACCCCGTTTAATTGTGATTAAACATTAAAAATACTGTCCGTTTAAAGTCAAGAGTTGTGCTTACTTTTTGATAACTTATTTTTGTAATATAGATTTTATTATAACCGCCACTAAGTTAATAATTCGCAAACGCACGTGTTCATCATAGAGGTTAACACGAATTGTGAGATTTACGCATTTTGCTGAATAAAATTGACTGAAAGGATGTACGCGGTTTTCTACTAAATATTGCAAATCAATGAATTTGGATATACGCTGCCTTCCAGAAGGTGCGCCGTACTATCTGCTACCAGATGGCACCAAGATGTCAATTTCTCAAAAAAGTTACGCATTTTACTGATTAAGCCGACTATATGTCATTCAACGATAAACGAAAATGCATCAAACTGACAGATTTTCAAAACATTTATATAATAATTTACAATGATACTGTGAGGTGGGGTGGGATGACTATGTAAAATGTAAATCGACATTTTGAGGCGCCAGTCATATTTGATTTAGAATGACGTCACTTTGCGTATTACATTCCTCAAGCCCTTTCATTTGGTACCCATATCATAGGGGTGAGTGTAAAAAAATGAATCACCCTTTTGCGCTAGTCGTCATATTTGATATACGTTACTTTGCTTATTGAGTTTCTATCCTCGATCCCTTTTATCTGATACCCATATCATGAAAAGTACTATGAAAATTCTAAATCCCTGTTTTTATGGCTGCCGTCATATTGGGCATTGACGGACGTCACTTTGCTTATTGTGTTTCTCTCCCAAGCTCTTTTATCTAATACCCATATTGTGTGACTGTAAAAACTTCAAATCGCCATTTTGCGGCGGCCATCATATTGGATATAGAATGACGTCACCTTGCTTATTGGGTTTCCTTTATCAAGCCCTTTTATCTGATGCCCGTATCATTAAAACTACTATGAAAAATGCAAATTGCTATTTTGCGGCGGCTGCCATATTGGATTTAGAATTAGGTCACTTTGCTTATTGTTTCACCACCATATTGCGGCGACCGCCAGCTGGGATTCAACATGGCGACATTTATTGTGTATTGTCATGCAAACCAAACGTGTATATAAAATTGCAGCCCGATTCGTTGAGGTTAACTGGTATAAAATCCAGTTACCAAACATACTGACACGTCATGTCAATTAAAATTTAATGAACCATAAATATCATGGATGAAAATGTATTTTCAACTATACATTTTTTAAGGGTCTCCAAATTTCAAATGACTAGGATATATGGATGGTTTAATAATGGCCTGTGTTATAGACGCTGCTGCATTAACAGATAAGCCACTGGTTATTTGTCAAAATCGCAAAAATATGTCAATAACACATGACGTTATAAAATCTTCCATATATCATTTGAAATCCGCACTATAAAATTATTCAGTCATCAGATTTATGTTACGAGTCGGCAACGTCGCGTACGGCGTTCGTGCACCGTCTAGCAACCATGTGGCTTCCAGAAGAAAAACATGGCGCTTGACAGTTTTGACACTGATATGTATATATTTTGTTGTGTTGGGAACCACTGCGTCATGGCGTAGGTGCGTGGGTTAAATAATTATTTTTTTTGTTTGATAGCGTGCCCTGTGATCTATGGTTATTGTGTTCTCAGTTGCAGTAAGTTGAGTTTTTAATATAGCATATCCGCTGAACTTGTTAGTGCTAGTCTAAAAACCGGTGGCCATTTTAAATTATTGGAGAACAAAATACATTGGAAATGATTATAAAAGATAATCATCTTGTAACTCACATGTTCTGAAATCGAAGATTTAGGTTGTAATTTGTTCAGGCGAAAAATGTTCTTTTATTTTCAACGTGCTTGCTTTTTTGTGTACAAGTTGCTGCTACGATGTATGGTTATTTATTCCTATAAATAAGCATCCACAGTGTCATCACTAAGGGTTATACAGTGTGTTCAGAAAAAATAAGTATTATTGGAGCATTTTTCATAACTTTGTCTTTGCTCAAAAATTATGGTGAGTTAATATGCTTACTGCTGTTCAACTTCTCATGGAAAAAATAAAAATGTGGCTTTATAATTCCCTGTGGAGCTTTGTTTTAAACACACTGTGAACATTTCATTCGAAGATATTTAAAAATACAACCTAATTTGACAAGAGCGTCGTTTTTACATGAATTTCTGCGCTGGTGTTTCCTCTTGCCAGTCCAAGCGGCACAGCGGTGCATCCGGACTATGTTATTCAGATAATTTGGTGGTCCCTTTTTAACATTGTGTATATAAGTAATTCTGGAAATATGTGTTCATAATCGTGATGTTGATGTGAAACTATTATTCGCAACTAGTTGCGTAAATGGAACTTCTTAAAATTGTCCTTTGTGTCTTATCTGTCACTGGCTAATAATACAAACCACAGTTGTTGAATATATTAATTTCCTGACGTTTCGGCTGCCTCGAAACCTCACAGTAGAAATAATTTTATGAAATTGAAAATTTGTGCTCCTCCCTGTGAAAGTCCTTTTACTTCCCACGCCATTGGCGAGAAAGTATTATTATCTACAGAAAATTTCGAAAATGAGATATTTTGCTTATGTACGTTGTTTGACATTTACATCACGCAAAAAAAGGCGGCTTTCATTCGCGCTCCAGGTAATTTCCAACAAATTCTAGAGGATTCGATCATAATAATAAATAAAATAAAAAATAGTTTTTAAAAAAAACTTATTTAGCTGTTAGTACAGTGAACTAAAAATTTAAATATAGTTTTTTCCGATTGGAGATTTTAAAACGATAATTAAGTTCCTTCATACAAGTTTTCAAATTCAAATAAAGCGTGTTACACCTTTTTCCATCCTATGCTCAAAATTTTCTAGAATTATTTCCAGTTGGAAAACATATTTTTACTATACTATAACTATCTAAAACTGTAATGACTCATCGATGTTCACGTGAACATCACTTAACTACCAGTAGTCGGCTGTTCATAGGCGGGGTATGAATGTTTAACGTGAGTGAACTAGATTTGTCACATGCTTAATAAAGAGTGGTTTGAAACATATTGTAAGTCAAAAATTTGGGAATTACCTTTATTCATCGTCGCTTCCACTTACATCTGACAGTAATAAACTGTCGCTATCGCTTTCCTCGTTGGTAGGAAGCATTATCCATGACGATCACAGAGTTGGGCTCAACTCGCTGAAGCACCCCTTGAAACCAGCTCTCGAAGCAGCTGGCATTCATTTCGTCATGGTAATCACCTCCTTTCTTAGAGACGAAAATTAAGTCACACTCTTCTAAAAAGCCACTATCGCTACCAATATGAGTTACGATCAATCTTTGACCTTTCCCTGACGGTCCACGAAGACCTGTTGACAAACCTTCAATGCTTGCTTGTGGGTTACTCACTACGTTTTCATCTATCCAGGTTTTTTAACTGTGTGACCTGCATTTACCCATGTCTCGTCCAAATAATAGATTTTTCTGCTTTGTCGCCTATATTCAATCATTTCGCGTAGGTATTTTCGACGCCAGGTGACTATTTCAGGTCTCTCTGTCAATACTGACTTCCGATTACGCGTTTCGTAACGAAAATTAATTTCGTGCAGGGATTTCCTCATTACCTCGACGCTCATTTGTGGTATAATTTCATTTTCCTTGATCGCTGCATGTACAGCCTTGAGGGTTGGTATCTCATTCCTAAAGAAGAATGAATGTACGGTTCGCCTTAACGCCATTTTGCTATCGTCATCCAATTTAACGGCCTTTCGTCCCTTCAAATTAAACTTTGGATCAGTAACAGCTCCAGTTTTCTTCTTTTCATGCACCATCCTCCGAATGGTCCACTCTGGAACGCCTGTCATACTTTCACAACGCGCGAGTGCATCTCCCTGCGACATAGTTCTGTTCAGATAATTGAACACGTTGAGCACGATTTCTTTCGCGTCCCTCTTCAGTGCTTTACGAAGCCGTCTACTTGTTCCCTGGCTTTCAGTACTTCCACTCGTGCCATTTGTACTCTCCATGGTTAAGTATAACCAAAACAGAAACCACAACAATAACAATCACACAACAATTCTTATAAAAACACACAATATGCGATCGCTCAACGAAACACGTTCCAATGCGTTGCCGACGCCTATGAGTCTGCCGGTCGAGTCGCGTCTTTGATTTCATTGGTTCTACCGGCGGAGAACAATCAGCCATTATTTCCATCTCTGTCTGTGCTGTTGACCACCGCAAAGCCACAGAAACGACATATGTCGTACGCTATACGGCTGTACTAGAAGGAAGCCGGGATCGAGCTCTGATCACGTGTTGATCACGCGTATGAGTCATTACAGTTTTAAATAGTTGTAGTATAAGCTGAAATTTTATACACACGTTCGGTTCGCGTGACAATACAAAATGAATTACCTGCCTCCATTTTGAATCTAATATGGGCGATTGCTACATGCTGACGGTTGATATGGATATCAAATGAAAGTGCTTGATGGGAGAAGCGCAACAGGCAAGGTGGCATAATTCTAAATCTAATATCGTGGCCGCCGCAAAATTGCGATTTACATTTTCTTTGCACAGTCACCCTTATGTCAGGGGTTTCAAATGAAAGGGCTTGATACGAGATACACAATAAGAAAATTGACGTCATGATAAATTCAAGATGGCGGCCGTCACAAAACGGAGATTTCCATTTTTCATAGTCTCCCATATGATATGGGCATTAAATGAAAGAGCTTGATAAGAGAAACACAAGAAGCATAACTTACATTTATTATACAGGGTTTGTCCGGAAAGTAATAGGACTGAGTCGATTTAAAAAAAATTATTGAGCCGTTACAATTCTTCAAAAACTTTCAAAATATGCTCCTTCTGCGTCGATGCAGCGCTGCCAGCACGATTTCCAAGCATTGAAGGCGTCACGGAAGGCATTCTCCGGAATAGCCGTGAGAGCCGCGGTGCATGCTGCTTGGATCCCCTCTGTCGTCTCAAAATGCTTGCCTTTCATCGCTATTTGGCGGTGAGGATGAGTACTTATCAGACCACCCTCGTATTTCGTTCAAGCACCAAAAGCTATGAAATCAGTCTGTGTGTGTGTGTGTGTGTATCGACTCATGATGTAATATTTTCCTGTCAAATATTTCGTTTGACTACGATTCCCACACTCAGAACGCTCTCAGGCAGTGTTTGGCTATTAAGTCAGTGGTTAACTATTACAGAATAGACCTGCAAGTGCCAGCCGCAAAGTGGCAAGTCCCAAGCCAGTCCAAATTGCCAGCGTCCCCTCAACAAATGACAGCTCTAACTGCCGCTCTACAGCAGCCTAGACACGTCTTGATTCAACATTATCAAGTAAGTAATTGCATATTACCAACAAGACTAATCTATGGATTATTTTATTATATATAACACTCTATTGAGATTAGAATTATCTAGGTGGCAGGAACACATCCGTTAAACTGATTCTAAAATGTATGTTACCCTTTCAAATGTGGTCTGCTACTTGATATAATACCTGCTGTTCCCACCAGCGGATCTGTTTTGTTGGCTGTCATTTGTTTGCTGATAAAAAGCCCAAATCGCAGGCAATCTGTAGTTATGATGGTAAGAATCAGAATAGCATCAGGAGCCAAGTAAATTGACTATGAATTGGTGTTCGTCCCAGAAGACCAGTAGAGATCGAACGGTTGATAGAAAATCAATTCACCCTCAAACATACAGGCTGTTTCAAAAAGACCTGTTGATATTTTTTCTAGAGTAGAACGTACATCCAAAAATAACTAAAAAAATGCCTATGGATATGGGCCCAAAATGCTTTTCTACCGAGATACAGACAGGCGACGAAGTTTTATATACGAAATTGAAAAAAGTATATCTACGTAGCGGGTACAGATACTGAGTTAGTGCGTTCAGTCAGCATCACGTGTGTTTATTGCTGATGACGAGCTTTTTCTCACTTTTTTCGATCCAACTCATTTTTACTCACTTTTCATTGAAAACATTCACTTTTCTCACTATTGTCGCTCTCGCTGTACATATTGTAGCTTATGAACGTTTTCGAAGGGGATGCCCTTCTCTCAAGCACCACGAAAGTTTTTTTTTATAAAAATTAAGCAGGATTGGTTAAAATCTACTTTGAATTTTAACTCAGCATTGCTAAAAGCATTCTATACCGAGTGATTCTCCAAGGTGGCTCACCACTACAACTTTTTTATTATTGAAGATAGAATAACGAAATTTGGAGATTGCTTCACCTTTCGATTTTTAAATGGGACACCCTATATATTCTTACTTATTTAGATCGAGAATTACATTCTGAACTCAACAACGCCTCACTTGTCAATATTTGACAAATAAAGTCATTTTTATCTCTATTGCTATTTTTCAATCTGGAATGCCATGGATCCTGTATAAATCGCCTGACTTTTGAACAAGTAACACGGGAAAAATACGATTTTGAGGCGAACGACTTTGCAGTCGTTTTAAAGATTTTCTAAGAGTTACAGTCGCATTTTCCTTGCTTCACCGTAAATTAAAAGCATGTCAATTTTCTCGTTTCTAGTATAGTTTTCCGTTATAAATTAACTACGTAACAAATAAATTTCTAAAACTGGCAGTATTTTTAATAACCTAGATTAGGTATTTGTTGAAGGTAACCCTAGCAACACGTTCAATTGTTTGTCACGGATAACTAGAATAATAGGACTTGATGCATAGGTATGCCGAACGCAAATACGTATAATTCGCTGTTAGGTATGATCGTTTCTTACAATTATTCAGCAAAATAATGAAAATAAAATTGGAGTGTTTAGTGTCAAATGATTCAAAAGAAAATTGTCTCAGACAAAGCCGACGAGCCACCCCCTTTCTATTTGAGAAAATCAAGGAAACTGAAAAAATAAGTGTTTTTTAACTTTTGGAAATCTTACTTGATCAAAAATCAGGCGATTTATACAGGATTCATGTCATTCTAGATTGAAAAATAGAATTTGAAATAAGATTGACTTTGTCAAATATTGACAGGTGAGGCGTTGTTGATTTCAGAATGTCATTCTCGTTCGAAATAAGTGAAGAAGTACGTCCAAGCAAGTCAATTTGTAAAAAATGTAAATTCATCTATAATATGCAACTCCCTAATTTCGTTTTTCTATCTTCAATAGTAAACAAGTTATATGGGTATAATTTGAACTAGAATTTCAATATACATGCATTAACAGTGGCACTTTTTACAAATCGTGAAACTGAGTTTTGAAACAATTAGCCTTATCCAATTGAGTTGAAATTTGGAATACCTGTCTGGTTTGTTTGACAATACATAATGAATTAACTGCCGCCATTTAGAATCTAATATGGTGTATGCTGCATAATGGCGATTTATCATTTCCACAGTATATGATAAGGGTATCAAATCAAAGAGCTTAATGAGCGAAACACAATAAGCAAAGGGTTTGATGAGAGAGTTGCAGTAGCAACGTGACTTCATTCCACATCCAATATGGCGGCCGTTGCAAAATGTCGATTTATAATTTCCATAATCGCCCCCATATCATGGCCTTCAAATGAAAAGGATTGATCAAACGCAATGAGCAATGTGACGTCATTCTTATCTAATATCGCGGACGTTTAATATGACATTTGACAATGTATTACAATTATGACATGGAGATGATCTGATGATGCAGCCAGGAAGTGGCCATGGAACCTCCATCGAGTACAACCTTGATTGATTCCTAATGACATGTATTGATACGGTCTGACGATTAAGCTAGTCAACTATTGTGTAAAATATACTCATCTCTAATATTTTTTTAAAATTATATAGTCCCCTAAAATGTAGGTTCTACAGTCAATTGGGCAAGAATACTTAAGTAGGTATGAACATTTGAGGTACAATCCTAAAATATACGTATGAAAAGGTTAGCTTCTCCTATTCTGAAGATATCGTCAAGTTTCATATTGGAAACGCATGTGAAGAAGCTATGGAACCCCATTATAACAGTAATTGAATAATACACGTGTATTATCGTCAACCTTCCTATTCATTAAACCTTGTCTATGCACGCCAGTGATTTTCATGCGAGTTATGTTGCTACAAATCTCTTATGTTGCCATAGACCAAGGTCCAGCATCATGCCACCATAGGAGTGTGCTGTACCTGCATAGATTACTTTCAACGATATACATGTTATTTTATTATGCAGTTCAAGATATTGTATCTTTGCAGTGTAACTTAGAAATCAGAAAAATTTCAAAATTCGAAATTTCAGTGGCGCAGTCATCGCGGATCGATTCTACCATCCCTACAAGGCCATTCATTGAGGATATCCGTCTGCACAGGTCGAAGAGGAGATCGCTAGGGAGCAAGTACAGGCAGGATACGGCGTTTCCAGAGCGAAGGGGTCCACTGTACTCGCTGCATCCCTCGATCCAACCTTCCGCGGCAAGAAGAATGAAAATCAGCGCCCTCATCGTGACGTAAGTTGCGCATTTTCTGCTTGCTTGCTCGTTATCGCACTAGTTTGTATATTTCGTCCATGTCAGTCTCTTCATATCGTAATTCCGGACAGGAAAATAGTGAGGCCGAATATAGTTTTAGTATGCCAAACGAACAGTTTCAGTCAGTTTTGGAAGCTAACCTCAGATTTTCCGCATTTAGCTTAGATAGCGATTCCAAAACAGATATGTCGATCCCATAAGCTCCCCATTTCGAGTTAAAGCTTCTAGACATAGTTCCCAAATATGACGGAAACCCATTAGAGTTAACAGCATTTTTGGAAACTGCTAACACATTGATTAGTAGGCTACTAACTCAAGTAACGCTAATTGTGTACAGAATTTAATCATTTACGGAATTTATTCGAAATTGATTGGCAATGCTTCGGTGATCAAAGAGACGAAAATGGATTATTATTCGAACTTAACCAATTAAGACAAGGTAACGATTGCAGTTCTATACCAACTCTGTCAAATTCTAGTGCTTTACACAATTTTAATGATACGCATGGAGTTCATATGACTATACAGTGCAGAAAAAATTTTTAATAATACACATGCACTTCGAATATTTTTGGGTGGCTTACGTGAACCTTTAGGCTCTACGGTTCGAGCTATCATCGAGCGCGATCGAAAACGTTATAAAGGCAGCAGTTGACAAAACTTGTCATTGCAACATACAACCACGTTACTTGGCTTTAAATGTGCGTAAATCGATGCGGTTTTCCCGGAATATCGTTTGTTTCTTATGCATCGTGCGAGTGTACCCTTAGGAAAAAGTAGCAAAAATATTGATTAACGGCTGCGGTTTTCACGTTAACCACATACCCGTAGACAGCTTTACTGTACGACTCGTGTAATCAACATCGCGCTACATAGACTAAACCCCCCCTGAAATGTCCTCTCCTTAATTGCAATAATGAACACGCGCTCACCATTTTTGGAAATCTACTTTTTTGTATAATATATCGTAAAATTATCGTGCTCTAACAGCCCACAGTCGCTTTGGCGAGTCGGTCTCGCACCATCGTTTTTTGGTACTTAAGACTCTTTATATGGTGTATAAAGGAAAAGCGTTATAACGTTTTTGATCGCGCTCGATCGATCGGCAGGCTCATTATCTAATTTTCAACCTACCGAAAATCGAACAGAATCAGTCGATAGTTGCTGTCAAACGCAAATTTCGTATTATTATCAGTCGGTGCATCTCAGTCAGCGACCAGCTACGGTGGCGCCTCTATGGAGCAACTGGTGAAGAAAAAGTGCATTATTTGGTTAGGAGTAGCAAAAAATTGGTATTACCTAACTTATGACAGCGACCCAACAGCAACCAAGTGGTGATTTGAACTGTCAAGTTAACAAGTGCTCGGTGGTAGTCGCCTAGTCGGTCGTCGATCGGTTACGAGTATTTTTTTGTATAAATTTATCAAAATTATTCGTTTTTTTTAACAAGAAAGGCAAGTATAACAAGTTCAAATAAGAAATATAATAACTTGACGAGTCTAAAAAGTTATCTTATACTCTCAATTTGTATTTTCAGCAGTTTTAATTCTCTGCGACGGCTCGTGCTTATGGAAGCTTGGAAAGTGAAAGAATGCAGGGTCAAAGACGACAAACTGCTGGCCTACGGCGTATTTTTTAGTATGTAGGAGCTGAAGTTTATAATGATTACAAAATAAGCTTACTTGCACCTACCTACCACAGTATATAGATACATTTATTTTAGGTATTTACAGCAGTTTTGGTGCTGGCCTCTGGTTCTTACCAGAAACACATTGTCATGGGTTACTTACATGGGCTCGGTCAACCCAGTGTACCCAAAGCACTAATGGAAGCAGTATGTGCATTAAATCGTCCATACATTGTATTGAAGCATATTTATTTCCCTCAATTACCATAAGAGAGTATAGTAAGTATATTGCCATGCATATTAAGAAAATGAGATTACATATAAAAATTTTATGGTGGATTTATTAATTGAGAAACTTGAGTTCAGCTATATCAAAAACTTTTTAATACATGAAAGTTTGCATTACCTGATGAAATTTCATCCCAATGCAAGTTGAAATTTCCTATTAACAGAAGTAATAAGAAGTCAACATAATACAACAACAAATCTGAGTTTTAATATTCCACATAATTATTTTAGGTAACTATCATTTACTCTATTTTTGGACACTAGTTGTAATTATTGTTATATACCTGCTTGATGATGAGTAATAATGACAGATATATTTTTACAGGTGACTCTGGACAACCATTAAGAGCCTGGCTCTTAATGCCTGTTATAAATGCTGAACCCGGCACTGCAAAAGCACATGATACTAAATGCATTGCCTTACCAGAAATATCATAGAGCGATGCATATGAGTATTAAAATTTCTATTATCTACTGTATCAAACATTTTAGATTTCCATGAAATAATGTTCATTGTCATATATATGTGTGTTTAATGACAACTCGGCTTTAAAAAGGTCTTATCAACCACTGTAAAGAAAATGTTAATGTTTATAGAAGTAGTTTTCTAGGAAGGTTTATTTTCACCTGTAAATATTCAACAATATCTATTTTGAGCAATGGAAATCAGGAGAAATCGCAAAATTCATTTGTAATGGGAAGCACTGCCTTTTTAAAATATAGTTATCAAAATCATCGACCTTTTTTTGTAAAATAAGCCCCATTTTTTTCCAATTTAAGCATTCATGGTACTAAACACAATCGTACAAATTTTAAATTTAAAAAATCTGGTAAAATGTATGTATAATGGGAACCAATACTCTTTTTAAAAATTGTATCAAAAGCATTTCTACTAATATAATCCCCAAAAAAAAACATGGATTTTTGTTTGACACAATGTCCTTTTCGTCTATTTCTAAAGCAATTATTATTCGAAAAGTTCGGTGATGATTTTCAGGAAATGATTTAAGAGAGGTGGTTTTGACACCAACAAAAATAGCTCACTGTTACAGGACAGTAATAGAAACAATATGGTAAATTGTAGCACAAGTAAACAATGATCATGAAAATATTTTATTCTTTCTGAATTTCAATCAGTTTAAATATGTGTGACCGCATTTCTTGTGAAATTTTTATTTACATTTTAGTTACATTATTGACGTCTGTATCTGTATACGACTGGCTTCTGCACACTGCCTAGCTATTTGTGATTCTGTTTCTGGTGAAGTTGAAGTACTTGGTACTGAAAATCAAAAAGCTTTTAATTAATATCTGAAATTATGAAGCAAAACCAAGTAGAAACTGAATTCAAATGCAATTTCTATTACATAACCACGTTCGTTCTAAAACACAAGTTCATCACTGTGAAAAATTAAAAATTTGTATTTTTTTTATTTGAACAAAAACTTTGTAGGTACTTTTATTTTGTCATCAAGAGTTATCAAATGATGTGGAATGCCAGGAAGCAAGATCTTTTTTCTATTTAAATGTGTTTTAATTAAGTGGCCAATAGAGATGGAGCATATACGCTGATTTTTCGTTGGTTAATAATAATCCCATTTAAATTTATGCAATAGTTATGTACTTACACCAAATGGCACTGGATGTTCAGTATCTCCAAATATTGCTGCTGTTCCCAATATGGCCATAACCTGCTTGTCTATTGTATGTAATTGTATCCTATGTTGAAAGTTATCCGGCACTGGGAAAAACCTAGAGTACTAATCCAAGGAAATTACTCAAGAATCTGTGTAAACCACACTTGCAAATATTAAAAGAAGGTAGCAACTATTTGGAACGATACAAATACATTGAAGTAAAGAAACTATTTTCAAACTACCAGTTTATGCTTTTTTAATGAATGCCCATCCGTGTTTTTTGAAAGCGATCTGAGTAGAAAAAAGTTTCTTACAAATTGATCCAATAAAGAGTAAATTACTGCAAAAATGGATAAATGTCCTCGTTTCTCAAGTTACTTGAATAAAAAAGTGTTCTGATAAAATATTGTAGGAAATATTGTACGAAACGGAAAAACACTTTTTAAAAAGTTTATGTTAGAGACAACTGATTGTTACAAGCAGGAGTACAAATCTGTCTTTCGTATTACGAAGACAGATCCTAATGAAATTTGATATAGATTAGATTACGAAATGATTCGTAAGACATTTGAATAACACATGTCCATAAAAAACTAATTGATATATCGAACTAAAAAATGTAAAATGAACAATAGCTTAAAAGCACTAAATAAACACGCTTTTATAGCTAACCGAACTAAAAAGTAGAAAATAACTATTGATTACAAAGAGTTTATATTACAGTAGTAGATGGTCTTCAATCAATCATAATAATGACCTCAAAATAAAATTATAATAAAAATTTATCATCAGAAGTATTCAATTCAGAGTAAAAAGCATCCTGTCACAGCTTATTTGACATCACAGCAGTTTTACTATACCTTTTAGACACTATTTCATTATGTTTATCTTACAACACGTTTTGCTAAAGGTCTCTTTTTATTACAACATGGTTATATGTAGCGTTCATGAAAAATCTGTTTCGTTACTGATGTCACAAAGTTGTATGTATTACATACCACTTTGTAATTCCAACCTAATCCAGATATAACTTTGAAACTCTGTATTGTATGGTCAAAGCCCAATACACATACAACTAAATAATGGTGTAAACTAAAAATCAAGAAAAATGCGACATACAACAGTGTAAGTCTAGGGTGATGACTTGCGGAAAGTGTATTTTCCGCATCTGTTAGGTAAATAACTATTAGGTGACAAACAGGATTATAATTTCTAAAGAAATTAGGAACTAAATTCAGTAGCGCATTTTCTCACAAAATTTGATACCAAATTATGAACAAAATCTTGTACTGTGACGGACCTGAGTTTGCTGAAAATAGTTGAGGTCATTTGGGGATGTAACATATGTATGCGTATTCTGTTGAATACTAGAATGAATGCAGTATACAAGGTATCCTAAAAGCCTTAGATCAAACGAGAGGGGGTAATAGAGGGGTCATTTCCAATCAGAAAAACCATCTAGGTCCTTATTCGATTGTGTACGTTTTTTATCACCATTTTTAAGAATTTTTAGAAAATATCTACTTTTGAGAGTGCGGTTGTGGTTTGCTATTTCTCAATCAGCCTTACAAGATATGTTCCCAAATAATGTATTGTTGAGAAAAGCTGTCGGCGAAAAATTAGTCCATTGTGTCTCACCAGATGACTGGATAAGATTGATTAACAGCAGTTGTGTGACATACACTAGGAGTTCTCCAGTTGATCGCGGTTACCTGAAACTGTACTACCTGTAGCCGTGATGCTCTATATGTCATTCAACGATAAACGAAAATGCGTCAAACTGACAAATTTTCAAAATATCATGAATAGTCCACTTGTCTTAGGAGGGAACATGATGTCAAATAACTGGTGGAATTTAAAATGTCATTTTTCTCATCAAGCCCTTAAATTTGATACATATACCATAGGGATGATTGTAACGAATTGTGTTCCATTTTACGCGTGCCGCCATATTGGATATAGAATGACGTCACCTTTTATCTGATACCCACCTCATGACAACTACTAATAAAAATGTAAATCGCCATTTTAATGGCTGCCGTCAAATTGAATGTAGAATGACACGTCACTTTTGCTCATTGTGTTTTTAATGAAGCTCTTTTATCTGATACCCATATATGGGGTTGCCTATGAAAAATGTAAATCGCCATTTTGCGCCGACTGTGACATCTTATTTAGAATGACGTCACTTGGATTTTAAATGGCGACTTTCAGTTTATTGTGTATTGTCACTACGACCAAACGTGTATATAAAATTTCAGCCCAATTGGTTAAGGTTAACTGGTATAAAACTTAGTTTTAACACATACTGACACATCATGTTAAAAGCTTAATGAAAACATGTGGACCATAAATATTATTGATTATGTTCATACATTTAGATTAAAATTTATTCTCAAGTATATATTTGTTAAATATGTTAAAAACACATGGCATTATAAAATCGTTCATGAATCATTAGAAATGCGGATTATAATATCATTCAGCCCTCAGATTAGTGCAAAGAGCTGGCAACGTCGCAAGTCGAGTTCGTGCACAATCTTACAACCGTGTGACATTCAGAAAAAAGAATGGCGCTTGACATTGTTGACACTGACATGTCTACCGTGTTGCTGTATGGTTTGCACGGGACTGTACCTTGTTCCTTCTTCAGTGTATATGTTTCATGGTGTGGGAAACCACGGCGTCATGGCATGATGGCTGGTTCTAATAGGAGAGTGGTGCTTCGGTTAAATAATAAATTAATTTGTGTGATAGGGTGGCCTGTGATATATGGTTATTGTGTTCGAAGATGCAATAATTCGACTTCGATGTAAGCTTTGAGATTGGATTTTACTTTTTTTCAGTTTTAAATCAGGATATACGCTAGTGCTAGTGTAAAAACTGATGGCCATTTTATATTGAAGAATAACATGCATGGAAATAATTTATAAAAAATAATCTTTTAACACACAAAATGTTGCGAAATCGAAGATTTAGGTTGTAATTTGTTCAGGCGAAAAGAAATTTTGTTTTATTTTCAATGTGTTTGCATTTTTGTGTGCTACACTACTACGATAATTGTTTTTTTTTTTCTTATAAACAAGCACTCACGTTTTAAGCCATTAGTAAGGATTATACTGAGTGTTCAGAATAAAAGTGTTATTGGAGCATTTTTCATCATTTTGTCGTTGCTCAAAGATTATGGTGAGTTAATAATATGCTTACTACCGTTCTTCTACATCTTTTCAAAAAGAGCCTAGTGGAAAAAATGAAAATGTAGCTCGCTTCAGAGCTTCGTTTTTAGCACACCGTGAACATTCCATTGGAAAGTATTTAAAAATGCAACCTCATATGTGAAGAGCGTGTAAATCAGTTTTTACACGAATTTTACCTGTTGTTTCCTTTTGTCAGTCCAAGCGGCGCAGCGGGCATACGGATTATGAAATGGCGTATTCATTTAAGTTGGTGTCTCTTTTTTATAATATCGTTTATATAAGTAAGTCTGGAAATATGTGTTCATAATCGTGATCATTGATATGAAATAGTTGTTTGTAACTAGTTGCGTAAATGGAACTTCTTAAACTTATCCTTTGATTGTCTCTGTTATCCATCTTGGACACTTGCCAATAATTCAACCCACAGTTGTTGAATATATTAATTTCCTGGCGTTTCGGTTGCCTCGACAGCCTGTGTCACCATAAAATTTTCACAAATAATTTTTTGGAATTGAACATTTTAGCTCCTTCCTGTGAAAGACTTTTTACTTCCCACGCCATTGGCGAGGAAGTAGTTTAATTTGCGGAAATTTTCGAAAATGAGATATTCTGATTTTGATGCGTGTGAAGCTCAAAAGCTGGCTCCATAATCGTACGAGCAGCTAGATTACAACGAACCCAATAAATGTTGTCTGCCTGCGATATGCCATGGCGTGCATACGAGGTGAGCGCGGTAATTATATATACATATATTCTATCTGTGCCTAAGAGTCTTATGCTATTACAGTATTGCATTAAATGGTTCTGCAGAGTTTGTAGGTTCGTATCTACAGCTAGTCGTACACCTCCCCTGACAGTTATTAAAAATTTTTTTTTTCATGAAAAGTTGAACAAAAGCTATTATATTCAGATATCGAAAAGTAGTTACAAATTGTGTTACCCCCCAGCTCCAATGAATGAAGCGTATGGTGCGCGCTACTCCCTGAAATTCAGGAAAAAGTTTGTTTAGTGAAAAGTTGAAGAAATCCATTGATGTGCTATTCAGAGTTCAAGCTACACAACAAGAGCTATTATAATCAGTTATCAAAAAGTAGTTTCAGGGTTTAAAGTACACAACAACAGCTATTATATTCAGCCTTCTTTGGAACTGGGGTGTAAGACCGTTTGTAACTACTGTTTGAGCCAGATCTCATATTATGCTTTGAGATTGATCTTAAAAAATGACACGATCTCGCGAGATTGGGATTGCAACCCCTAGGTATAAACAGGTAACAACTAATATGGCTCATTCTTCTGGAATTTGACAGCCAGAAAATTATTTTTCTTTATTGAAATCTTCGCTAACTTCATAATAATAATGCCATTTTTGTTTATTTGGCAGGGATGCTGGCGTCTTACTTTGTTCACTTTTTTCCATATCTCACTTTTATTCGCTTTTGATTGAAAACATTCACTTTTCCCATTATTTTCGTTCTCGCTATACATATTGTACCTTATAAGCTGCCCTCCCCCCAAGATATTAAATGAGAATTTTTTTATTAAAATTAAGTAGGATTAGTTGAAATCTACATTGAATTTTAATTCAACTGTGTATATATATGTATGTATATATAAAAAAAGAAAATAACGGGCAAAATCCACAAAAAGAAGGAAAGTGGATTCAAGCAGAAAATATGATAGGTAACCCAAGCAATAAGTATTTCCGCTTGTTGACCTCATCAGGCTCGAAATGAATGCACATATGCAACCACAAAAGTAGATACACATTCGCGTACATCCGCATCCGCAAAAAAATGAGACATCCCCAACAAGAGGCTAGAAGATCTCGAATTTTCAAGGCGACATCTAACCACAACCTGTCCTATTTTCTGCTCGAATCCACTTTCCTTCTTTTTGCGAATTTTATTGTGTAAGAAATACTCATCTATAAACATTTTTCAACATAATTCGCTAAAATGAAGGTTCTTCAGTCAATTGGGCAATAATACTTCATAGACATAAATACGTCTCCCGTATTTACAAGAATTTGTTATATTTTCAATTTTTCTTTAATGCATTGTGTGCATTTGATCTTAACTATGCATACATATAAATAAATATTTTTGCATACGTCAATAAAACAGTAACAAAGATCTTATAAGAGTTATTTTCGTTTTTTTCACACCTGATTTATCTTATCCGTATAAATTTGGCACTATATTCAATTTCTCAGAAAATTAATTCGCCTTTTTATGTATAAACTCACTATTTTCTCACTACTTTATTTGGAAAATCTTACCATTCTCATTCGAATTCATGCTTTGGGTGGCCAACACCTCCAGAGTTTCCTGGCCCAAACTATACCAGGGACATAGAAACTGGGGTACCTAGACCCCTAATAGGAAGTATTTTCCATGCCACTGGACTTTTCGGAGAAAAGCAGTAGAGTTTATCAAATATAATTCATTTTTTCATAATTTTTATCTTCTAGGGAATTTTTGTCAGTTCACTCGCTTACGAGATATTTAGGTTTGAACATTTTATGTAAAATCCTAAAATATACATATGAAAAGGTTTAGCTTACCCTATTCTGAAATAGTTTGATATTGGACACTTTATATGGCACCTCATTACAACTATAATATGCGTATATTATCGTCAACCAGTAGCGTAGAAGCTTACCATTTATTAAACCTAGTCTATGCACGCCACTGGTTTTCGTGGTATTTATGTTGCTACAAATCCCTTACCTTGCAATAGAACAAGGTCCAGCATCACGCCACCATAGGAGTGTGCTGAACCTGCTTAGATTAGTTTCAACGATATACATGTTATTTTATTATACAGTTCAAGTATTGTATCTTTGCATTGTAACTTAGAAATCAAAAAAATTTCAAAATTCGAAATTTCAGTGGCGCAGTCATCGCGGATCGATTCTACCATCCTTACAAGGCCATACATCGATGATATCCGTGGGCACAGGTCGAAGAGGAGATCGCTAGGGAGAAAGTTCAGGCAGGATACGGCCTTTCCAGAGCGAAGGGGTCCACTGTACTCGCTGCATCCCTCGATCCAACGTTCTGAAGCAAGAAGAATGAAAATCAGCGACCTCATGAGTGGAGTAAGTTGCTCATTTTCTGCTTGCTTGCTCGTTACCGCACTAGTCTTTGTATATTTCGTCTATGTCAATCTCCTCGTCTCCTAATTCCTAACAGGAAAATAGTGAAGCCGAGTATAGTTTTAGTATTTCAAACGAACAGTTTCAGGCAGTTTTGGAAACTAACCTCAGATTGTCCGCATTTAGCTTAATAGCGATTCCGAAACGGATATGTCAGTCCCACAAGCTCCCCAGTTCGAGTCAAAGCTTCTAGACATAGTTCCCAAATATGACGGAAACCCATTAGAGTTAACAGCATTTTTGGAAACTGCTAACACATTGATTAACATCTAGTAGACTACTAACTCAAGTAACGCTAATTGTGTACAGAATTTAATTATTTACGGAATTTATTCGAAATTGATTGACAATGCTTCGGTGATCAAAGAGACGAAAATGGATTATTATTCGAACTTAACCAATTAAGACAAGGTAACCATTGCAATTGTACACAAAAATTTTCAAATTCAAATGCTTTACACAATTTTATTGATACGCATGAATGAAGTTGATAAGACTTCATAGTGCAGAAACATTTTTTTACAATACACATGCACTTCGAATATTTTTGGGTGGCTTGCGTGAATCTTTTGGCTCTATGGTTCGAGAAATGAGGTTTAATTATCTTGCCGAAGCAAGTCAATTTATCATTTCTGAGAATAACATTTTACATTTTAGAAAACCTTACTTTGACAATAATAAAGCTCATCGAAACCAACAAAACCACCACCTGAAACATTCTTCGAATCACTATTTTGATCCACAATATGATCAGGGACCACAAAAAATAGAAAATGCCTTTTTAAAAACAATCTACTGATGAAGACGCGTTACCTATTGTTTCTCGATTATCACTATGATTCAATGAGTACTTAAATATTGACAATCTACGTTTCGAAATACTGGACTGACGCGTATTAGCGCAAAATCTGTAGCGGACATTTGTTAAAAGTGGTGAATGCACATACTAAATCCAGGAAACTATTCTAGATTTTCACCCGAAGGCCTTTGTATACAGAGTGCCCAACTAAGAATGCAAGGTACTCTATCTGGGAACCTATCCATCGTAGGCGCTTGCAGCAAAAACAGTTAGGCCAAGAGAAAAACCTGGAAGATATTTTCAAGTTTTTGAAGTGACTGCTAGGTGGCGTGACTGAAATATTGAAACTAAAAAGGTAATGTTTCTGTGAATTCCTCTATATTAACCTAACAAAAACTTACCTGTGTAGCGACTAATTTATGCTCTCTGCTATGGCAACTTTGTAAACCCCATGCCGTTTATTTGACGTTCAAGTCAACACCGCATGAAAGTCACTTTTCCTTTATTGCCCTATGATTTTTTAGTTCTGAGACGAGATGTCAATTTTTTTGTGGTTATGTGTGTGGTGTTTGATTTTATGGAATTTGAAGATTAAATCCTGTTTCATCGAGCTCCTACGCGTAATTTTATTCCCTTTCGACCCGCCTCTACACCTGATCTTTTAATTCGAGGAGATTCTGAACTTTTTTTGTTTGAACAATTTTGCTGTATCTGTAAAAATAAAGCGGTGGGAGGTATTCAAATGTTTCCGTAAAAAACACCCTGTATCTTCGAAACGGCTTGGCCGATTTTGACAAACTTGGGCTTGTTGAAAAGAGCTATTCTTGGGCTACAAATGTTATAATATTTGAAGTTTTGTAAGTTTCCCAGGTGGCCGCTAAAGGGCTTTTTTTGGCATTCCGACAGAAACGGTCAACTTTCTCAAAAAAATTGAGTGTACATATTAGTAAAAACAGTAGTTGAATTATATATAAACAAGCTCGCGAAAACCGCATCTCGATATCTTGTTCCTAACCTAAAATTTAGTCCAAAAACTAATTTTTCTGGAATTTCTTTTTATTAAGTTGTGGCCCTAGAAAGGACCGATTTAAAAAAGAAAGGTCTTTAATGCCCCCGTAAATGCTGGAAATGCTGATCTTCACGCTCTGTGCATTCCTGAAGCCTCTCATGGGTAGACAAAACTGCAGCTTCAATTTCGACTGTCGGTATGTTATGTATTACATTTTTCATATCTTCTGGTTGTAGGCCGAGTCTGAAACACGATGTCTTTTAACCGTCCCCATAAATAAAAATAAAGACAAGTTAAGCCTGGTGACCACGAAGGCCATGGAGACAGACTTCCTCTTCAAATCCACCGCTGTTGAAATACATACTACATTAATCTCTCACACAGTAATAGCAAAATGTACTGAGTAACCATTCAACTGCAAAAACAAGTTTTGTCCTGTTTCCAGTGGCACATATTCCTACAACAACGGTAATTGATTGTACAAAAAGTCAAGAACGACATAGCCATTTAGGGATTGCTCAAACAAATATGGCCCAATAATTCTGCCTCCCAGTATGCCACACCACATATTTAAAATCCAACGCCCTTTCACGCAGCTAATGTGGATTTTCTGGCTGCCCAATAATGCATGTTCTGCAGGTTGACTCTCCCGTCACTAATAGAGCTGGCTTCGGACCAAAGAATTTGAAATAGAAATTCTCAATTTTCGCGTATAACGCCTAACATCCAATGGCAATAGTTCAACCTCCGATCAAAGTCTTCCTTTTCCAAGGGTTGATGTAGAACTTTGGCCTTAATATTAGGTTAGGAACAAGATATCAAGATATTAGGCTACTTTTTCATAAATAAATCATTCCGAAGCATTTAATTTTTTTTAAGAAAATTATCCATTTCTGTCGGAATGTCGAAAAAAAAGCCCTCTAGCGGTCACATGTGAAACTAACAAAACTTCAAATATTATAGCTCTTTTCAACTAGCCCAAGTCTGTTAAAATCGGCTGAGCCGTTTCGCAGATACAGGCTATTTTTTTACGGAAACCTTTATTTTTAGAGATCAAACAGTTCACATTACTCTAGACTTTGAAGATCAGGTAACTTTTTGTTAGGTTAATATAGCGGAATTCGCAGAAACATCACTTTTTTAGATTCGAGATTGCTGTTACAGCCCCTGGCGACCATTTCAGAAAGTTGAAAATATTTTCCAGGTTTCTCTCTTGGTCGTTTTTTTTGACGCAAGTGTCTACGATTTATAGGTTCCCAGATACACTACCTTGCATTCTTAGTTGGCCACCCTGTACATCTACAAATTTAGAATTGCACTCGCTAGCACGTTTCGTTTCTACTGAAGTTGCATTCCCAATTGTATTTTCCACTTCACCTGAAAAAAGAGTTAGCGTAGAACAAAGAGATTTTATTATTAAACTAAATCGGGTAATCTCCCATGTATGGGTGTAAAAGTTAATCAACTAGGGCACATTTTCAGGGCTAACGAATAAAGGCCTATTCATACTCGGTCGTGACGTGACAGTGCTGTGACCGGCACGTGATCCGCCCGGCGAAACTAAAAACATGGTTCCTTAAATTTGGATTAACTGATTCACACTAGAGCACGTGGAGGTGGCCGTGTTCTCGGTGCAATCGACGACGCCGTACCGTGACCATCGCATTGTTTTGGAACGATATTTTTCGATTTTCACTGCCGTGTTTTCATGTAATTTCGTGAATATTTTGGTATAATTGGTCAAAAACATGAATGATGAAAAACTAATTGAATTTGTACGAGTACATCCCATGCTGTAGAACCAGTCAAATTGAAAATTCACGGACTTCCGTTTTCTTCTCGTTTCTTCTTCTTCATCTTTCGTAGGTGGTTGACGCTCTCAAACTGTCGAACGCGGAGGTACCACCCGGCGGATCTCCTAGGCGGGACCAGAATGAGTGCATGTTGCATGCACACGTGTTCCCTCGCCAGAGTCCCTGTGTCGTCCCCCCTTTCCCCTGTATTTCCTCCTATAGCACTACGTTACCCCATGGGTGTTTAGGCCTTAGGCATTCGTGGTAGTCGGAGTATAAGCAAAATCCAGAACTAATGCAATAATTGCAAGTTCATCCTCTGAAAATGTTGCCATCTCGACCTCACGTGAACACAACTGCACTGTCACTGCACGGTGAAAAATACTGACCAGTGTGAATTGAAAACACTGTGAGCTCACGTCAGCGGGAATCACTGGCACGTCACGGCTGACTGTGAATAGGCCCTTACTCATGTTTTAATAAAATTATGAATCAGAATTTTCCTGGGTATTAAATATTCGAAAAGTTATTCGTAAAACCGAAAATGTCGCATAGCTGATTAGCTTTTGAAGTGCCACCTGTGAGATCACCGGATTTACTTTAATAGTAAAGCGAATTTTAAATTCAATTGTTTCCTCATTTCAAATGATCTGCGTACCCCGTCTTCCAAACAGAACGTCTGCTAAGTGTTGTATAAGCAGTATTTAGCTACCTTATAATTGCTTACCAGCAACGTGTGAAAATATGGTTTCAGATTGCTGAATAGCCTGCGATATGTCGAAGTTGTTATTATTGCTTGAACTGCCTGTTACACGTTGTTCATTTTCTAGTTCAGTGTTGTAGACTCCCAACGCATTGAAGATCCTATCATTTCGTTTTGCCATGGTTCTAGATTGTCTAGAATAATAATAATATCCTCGGGAATTCAAAAGAAAAGTATGTATAACCTACACAAGCAAATATTTACACTAAAAATTTACAAAACGAAATTACTTTACACCTTAAATATACTAAGTGACATATAAAATGCATGATAAAAACTTGCAAACATATTTGCTATCATGGAAGTATACGATGATGAAATGTTGAAGACACTACGAGCCGTACTTTTTTGCTACAAGCTTTTCCTGTCATTTCAGGATCCGAACAATATGAACATGTTTACTTAATATTCAGTGCTCTTTCTGTGTTGGTTCTATTTGTTTCATTGCATTATCATGCCTAGAGTTGCAGTTCCGCTAATTTCACTTAACCTTACCGAGTTTGAGAAGGGTCGGATCATCGGGTTACGTGAAACAGGATTTTCTTGCTTATCGGGTGTAAACAGATGTTGGTCGGGCGT